AGTGTCAAAGGAACAGGAATTATGGGGGCAGCAAGTGGAGCTGTGCAGTGTCCCCTGTGTATACACTTTGGGGGGTGAGGTCCTCCCTGGTACAGAAATGCCTCCAGTTTTATACCCAGTAGTAGCGTCCACGTAGGCATGAGCTGTGAGGCGCAGGTGATATCTCTGTAGGAAAAGCCAGCAAGAGGGCCTGTCATTCTCTGCTCAGCCACCACCCTGGCCATCACTGCCCTGCCTCACACCCACCACCTATCTCACAGGACATACAGACCAAGGCCCTCTGTGCCCCCACCCATGTGAACGAGACACCCCGAGAGCTTTGCTACTTTGAGGACCAGCAGCACCTGCCAGCTCTAATGTGCGCACAGACCACCTGGGGATCTTGTTACATGCAAATTTTGAATCTGGAGGGTTGGGGCCAGGCTTGAGAATCTGCATTCCTGACAAGCTCCCAGGTGGTGCTGCTGGTCCGTGGACCACACTTTAAGTAGCAAGCAAGGTTCTCAGGTTCTGCTAATCTTGGTTTCTGACATTTGGATTTTCCTTCCACTGTCCTTTGATATTGGTGGGGATGAAGTCTGATGAACTTCAGAAAGGACATGAGATCATCTGAAGTTTGGCTTCCTGGTCAGGGGGTTACCTAGAGACCCAGCATCCCACAGTGCACTGAGGGGGACTGCCACTGTGTTGAGAAGCTGGATCAAACCAGAATCTCTGAGCCGAGGCTGGCCATCGGCGTCGGCAGGCAATCCTGACGCACAGCAGGCTTGAGAGTCCCTGCAGGCAGCCTCCACGCTGACTTCCCCCAAGTAAGCAAAGCTCAGTGCTCACTGGTCATTGTCACTGTGGACAGTGTGCGAATGTTCCCACCACAAGCACAGCGTCCTCATACGCATCATGTTGATGTGACCTCCCCTGTAGCGGCCTCACTGAGTGGCAAACCTAACAGCCCCCTGAGCCTGGAGGACAGTGCAACCTTCCAGATGATGTGGAGCCCCCCCCCACTTTCCCTACCTGGAGAGTCAGCCTTCCAGGCACCCCCACCCACACGCACAGCCTGCGCTGCTCGCTCTAGGAGGGCATGGGATGTGCAGGGGTCTCTGAGCTGAAGGAGTCGACGAGAGGTTCTCTCCTCTTTTCTGTGCTGTTCCCACTCCCAGGAGCCTAAGGCAAAAACTCTCAGGGATGGAGCATGTCTCCCAGGCACCTCTCTGGGGTTCCCACTGCAAAGCGCAACCCAGGACAGGGTGGGGGCCATGCCCCCCATAGTGAACCCACTGGTGTTTATCTCACAGGAAAGCGATGGATGAGGGACCGGGGCCAGGCGTGTGTGTTCCCAGGAACGGGAATAGATCCCTCTTACAATTCAAGTGTGGAAATTTTACGTACAGATTTATTTAAATTAAACTACACAAAATTCATTAAACTACACAAGTTTCCAGGCAGGCATTTGCCTGTTCAGAAAACCAGTTAAGCCAACGACACACAAATGTCCTGAGAAATGGCTGCTTTGTGTTGCCTCGTACCGTGTGACTCAATGGCATGTGTAGGCTTCCTGGGGCTGACCACATGTGACCCTATGATCTTCCAGGTGTGACCCTGACGAGAAGCAGAGATGGGGAAAAAACTGGATCTTTCCAAGCTCACCGATGAAGAGGCCAAGCACGTCTGGGAAGTCGTTCAGCGCGACTTTGACCTCAGGAGGAAAGAAGAGGAAAGGCTGGAGTAAGTGTGGGCCCGGCCGGGTCCAGGTCCGTGGCTGTCACCTTGGGGCACTGGCGGGGGATGGGTGAGCAGCCGGAAACGTGGGGTGACGGTTGCTCTGGGGACAGTTGTCCTATCTGGCCTTGGTTTCCCCACAATTAAAGTGAGGGGATCTGACTTTCCAGACTGGCCTTCAGGCGTTCCCTGAAGAGTTTTATTTCAGCTTGACCCGGCTTCCGGGGTGCTATCTCCTAAGCCAGGTGGTGCTTAGGCCACAACATGTGAAGAATCAGAGAGCGAAGGGACATAAGTGGGTACTGTCTGACGTCACTCTGAAACACCCAGCATGTTGGAATCCAAGGCTTTTAGGATAAAGGCTGACCTTCTGCCTCCTCTTCAACAGTCGTTTGTCCCCTGGGCCCCCTTATCATCTTCTCTTAGTGTCTTTTGTGGGTTGACTTCGCGTGTGGGGAAGGAAAGATCTGAGCAGAGACTGGAAGGACGTGACCCAGGGAAAGCCCGAGAGCCTGGGCGCTGCTGCAGGACACAGTGAGGGCTGGAGGGACGGGAAGGAGCAGGGAGCAGGTGTAGGTCGCACGGGTCCTTGCAGACCTTCCCAGGACCCGGCCTCCCTCTGCATCAAGCAGAGCATCAGCCAGACCTGACTGTTTCACAAGCGGTGGCTCCTGGAACCTGCTCGGATGTACTTTGAAGGCAGAGCCAGCGAGTTTGCCCACAAGCTGGATGAGGGGTCTTGAGGACGGGGTGAACCAGGGGCAACACGGAGGTCATGGCCAGAGGAACTGAGGGGATGGAGGGGAGGTCACCTCAGGTGGGGAAGGCACAGATGGGGCAGGTCTGGGGGAAAACCAGGAGACAGCCTCAGACACGTTGACGCTGGGCCGCCGGTTAGGTGTTTCACGGACGCGCGGAGCGGGCGTTGGGACACACGTGCCGGTGGAGCTCAGAAGAGAGCGTCGTGAGCGCCGCCACCACACGGACGCTGTTTGTCCTCGTGTCCTCGTGCTGCTGTGTACGTGACTTGTAAACTGCAAATCTAGTGTCTTAAAACACACAGTACACAAATGTGTCTCTCTCAGCTCTGAAAGTCAAGAGTCCTCATCAAGGTCCCCGCAGGGCAGCGTCCCGTCTGGAGTCTGGAGGCCGGAGGCAGGATCCGTTGCCTTGGTTTTTCCCGTCTCCAGAAGCTGCTGAGGTTCCTCGGCCCGTGGCCGCTCCTCCGACAGTCTTCAAGGCGTAGCATCTTCCAGTCTCTCTCTTCCTTCCTCTGTCCGTCCGTCCGTCTGTCTGTCTCCCTCCGTCCCCCCTCCCCTCTGCTCGCCTCCCTCACGTCTCCCTCCTCCCGCTGACTCTCCTGCCTTCCTCTTTCCCTTATAAGGACACCTGTGATCACATTTAGGGCCCACCCAGATAATCCAGGACAATCTCCCCATCTCAAAATCCGTCATTTAATCCCATCGACAAAGTCCCTTTTGTCCTGTGGGACAATACGTTCAAGGTTCTGGGGACTAGGATGTCTTTGGGGGGAGCATTATTCAGCTGACCCCAGGATTTACAGCTGGGGGGCTGGAGGAGACCACCATGGAGGGGGTTCACATAGAGAAACACAGGGATCCGGGAAACTTCGACTGGAGTGTGTTGAGGAGACAAAGTGCCCACAAAGGAGACAGAGAAGGAGTAGCCAGTGGTGAGCAGGTCTCAAGGGACAGAGCCACGACACACGGTTAAGTGGAGCGAGAGGGTCAGCCCCCATGTGATAGGAGGCGCCAGTGCTGGCAGGGGCCCGGTCAGTGCCGCCGTTCTGTGTGACCCCAGTCTCCCTTCTGCCTTGGGCCTCTGGTCACCCCCTGGACTTTCATTATGAGCTGGCTCTCTGCCCACTGGCCTCTGGGGAGGGCAAGCCTGGTTCCCATAGCAGGCCTGAGCGGGGGCTGCCACCCAGCAAGCAGCTGACACTGGAACCGCCCGCCAAGAGAACTGATCTCCCCGCGCCCCTCTTCTCTCTAGTCCAGCCATGCAGGGGGGTCAATGTTACTCCCAGTGGACAAGACAGCCTGGCCTTTCCTCCTCAGAGCCACCTTCCCAGGGGACAGTTCATACCCTGTCTCCAGGGCAGCACTGCCCATCAGCCTGTGCTGTAAATGGCAACTTATATCTTCCTATTTCCTGCAAATATAGAAATGCAGCCCAATTGAAAGGGGAGGGGACCCTGGTTCTCCAGGAGCAGAGGAAGGGAGCCAGCAGGGCCTGGGGTCCCAGGCAGACGCCGTTGTCCCGGTGGCTCTTGAGGCGGTCAGCCCCTCCTTCAGGTGGGTTCAGTGGAAATTCCAACGTCCTTCCTGCAGGCGGATCCCTCCCTTCTGACATCGGTCTCTCCATAACCCATAGTCCTTCAGTCATTCCACATTGCAAAGAAGAGACACCCCCAGGTAACCACTCAGTGCTCTTAGGAAAGGAGGTCTCTTGTAAGAATAGGGGTTGTGATGGCCACTCGCCTGGTGGACAGCCTGTGGCCGGTTGGTTACAGTCAGGGTCACTTTGCTCCTCAGACAGGCCTGAGGCCCTTTACTCAGAATGAGCCAGCGGGAGGCAGTAATGGCCGGCCATGTGATTGATTATGGGGTGGGCTTATTAAATACCCTGAATGTCTGTCCAATGGGAAAAGGTCCTAAGCCCTATGATAGCACCACAGAGTTAATACCGTGCTGCCGTAGAACGGGTAAGTGTGCAGAGGCGGTTGTGGGAAAGTCTATCAAAGTCATGTTAGGTCGAGAATACCGCAGCCAAATGGTACGGCCAGGGCTGGCTCCGACTGTGCAAATGCACGTCTAGCCGGGGATGGCTGTGGGCGGGAGAGAACGTGTGCACGTAGGGGGTTCAGCGAAGGGGTTTTTGAGTTTCTTATGGGTTTGGTTGTTTTCATCTCTTGTTCACTGTCCTGTTGGTTAAATATGCCACAAAGGGCAGAGCAGTCTCTGCCTGTGAGAAGCCTTTTCCCAGATCCCTAGTCGCACAGGGAGAGACTTCAGAGAGAGAGTTATGTCTGCCTGGGGCTGAGTCCGAGTCGAGGTGGCCCACCCTGCCTTCCTGTCATACCCCAGCAGCCTGCAAGGACAGCCTTTCAGAGCAGTCTCTGAATGGGCACCTGCCACTCAGGAGCTAGAGCCCCAGGAAAGGGCCTTCCTGGCAGTTCCGAGGAATAGCTCTTCAGGTTGTCGATACTGCCTGCTGTGGCAGCCTTATGCCCTGGAATAAACGCCGACTCTGTTTGGGATGCCACGTGGGGAGTCTCACATTAGAGACTCAGCCGAGACGTGCCCACCTTCGCCTCTTTGCCTTTTACTCCTGGGACGAGCCTCTGCCATCTGGCAGAGGCTGGGGGTGCTTTTCTAAGGAATGTCTTCAGCACAGCCTGTTGGGAGGGCTGAGCCTGGCCAAGGGAGCAGAAGTTTTAGTGTCTCGGGGATACTATGCTGGTCACACAGGCTGCATAGCCACACGCTGTCATTCCTCTGGCCTACTGGGAATCTGGGACATCTCGCCTGTCACCGCTTTGAAGGAAAAGTCAGAGGTGTGCTGGTCTGACACTGGGAAAAAGTGCAGGTGTCCCCTCCAGACCCTGCCCTGCCACCCTCCACCATAGAGCGTTCTAAAAGGCTTCTCCTTGCAGGAAGGCAGGGCAGGCCACCTCGCCTCATACTCAGCCCCAGGCAGACATAACTGTCCCTGAAGTCTCTCCGTGTAGACTGGTGCTCACGTCTGGGGAGGAGCACTGACTGAGCAGCAGTCCATCCCTGGCGGGGCGCTGGCATGAGGACATCGTGTCTGAGTTTGGCAGACACTCGCATGAGAGAATGGCGCTCCTTACTGTGTCTGTCGTCTGGTCCAGCACTGTGTTCTGTGAGCCTCCCATGGATACAGCCATTTCCCTGGGTGTGTCGGGGAAGGGAAGACTCTAGATGTGGGTGAAAAGCAGAGGCTTTGCCCAGAAGGGCAGGCTGCTGTCTCTGGCTGGCACCGAGCAGTGTTGGCCTGCGCTGTCCTGCACACCAGGAAGAACCCTGAAGGCTCACCTGGGGGAAGAGACAGGTGGAGCAAAAGACCAGCCCCTGGAGGGGGGATTGGTGACAGTGGCCAGGAGGGAGCCAGGCGGGAGGGAGCCAGGCAGGGCTCCTGGGAGGTCGTACCAGCCTGTGGAGCAAGAAAGCAACTACTCAGAACCAGAAAGGTGCCCTGGGAAGGCTGGCTGCTTCTCACTGCTGCTGGGCCTGCCCTTTAGTCCTGTCCTTCTCCTCTGGGATTTAGTCTCTTGGAGAACATCAGCCCGTCTGTGCACAGTAGGAGCGGAGGGCGGGGTGGGTGCCAGCACTCAGAACTATGTTGTAAGCAGGCCCCTCCCCTCGGACAGCACGAAGGTGGTGGGTGGTTCTCAGAGTGCGGCAAGCCATGGAGGACCTGAGCATGGGCGGGAGCGGGGCTCGCCTCCTCGGGAGCACGTCTGCCAGGAGTCGGGCTCAGCCCTGGGAAGGTGCGCACTTTGTTTTAATAGCGCAGTTGGAGGACCAGCCAGTCACCCAACAGGGGTCTTGGGGGGAATCAGGAAAGGCCCCTTGTTCCTGCTCACTCTTCTCTGCCACGATACCACATGACCTCGCTGCTGGCCATCGCTTAGGATGTCACAGAGATCCTCCTTCAGGAAGAAGAGACCCGCCGATCCAGTGCCACCCTGCACCACTTTATCATTTAAATCCTAAAGTGGCTCATGGGTAGATGATTCCCCAAGAAACAGGTCTTCACTGTACAGAAGGAAGGAGAAGGCACACACACCGCCGGGCCCACAGCCCCGCCACCTAGCCTGTCCCGCCGAGACTGCACCCTGGTCCCTTCCCCACATTCCCTCCCCACTGCCCCCACCAGCACCACCTCCTGCAGACAGCACGTGGGCAAGGGCCAGCCCTGAGGCTGGGGACCTTCAGTCCTGACCTTGCTCACCAAGGCCA